AGGCAGGGGCACATCAGGGGAGCTGTATGTTGTAGATAGCAGAGCAAGAACAGGTTTGTCTGCACCACTGAGCACCCACCACCTGGGGGTTTGTTCCCAACCCCAAAACATACAGGGCAGCAGCCTGGCTTATGAAGCACATAGGCAGCTTTATGTAATCATGAGAAATCAAGAGGAAATGTGTATTCATAAAAAGATACCCACCCCCTGACCCCAACAATACTTTTTTTCAAAATGGAATTTTGTTTCGCTTTTTTCTGATTATAAAATTAAACATGTTCAGAGAAACTAAAGGCCAACAAAATAGAAAGGTATAATGTAGAAACTGGATGTCTCCTTCAGTCTCACCCTCCAAAGTTCCCCATGGTAAAGAGTCTGTCCTTGCACACACATATGCAGCCATGCACACACACGTTCACACATGTCAGTATGCACATATATGCTTTTATTTCTTTTTTGGCAGATCACACTCTACCTCTGTTCTACTTTGCCTTTACTTCATTAACAAAGTATCATGGACATTTTCCACCACATGCTGGGCATTTAGAATTTGCCTGCCATACCTCATTCAGTCCTATGGGGCACCCAGCAAGATGCTGAACCAGGTCCAGCACTAGAGCCAAGATTCTAATGGACTCACCAGTGTTTTTCTCTGAACCCCCCTTTAGGGGTTCTCAGACTATCAGAACATAATGGTCTGAGGTTCCTATTAGAAATGCTGAGTCTTAGCCAACCTCCTCTCCATCCCATACTGTGACCCTTAAACACCCTTCAAGCCTGGAACTGAACCCACTCCCGGGGACCAACTTTCAGCCAAACAATAGACAGGCCTATAAAGTGAGTAACAACCCCCTTGAGGAATGTACTCCTCAGAACAATTGAGCATTCGAGACTAAAAGACCAGCATTTGCCCAAAAACAAAGCTCATAAGGCAGAAGAGGCAGGAAAGAACAAACGGAAATGGAGAACCCAAAGAGGAAGTGGGAAGAGTGCTACTATATTGAGGGAATTATTTGCAACCAATGTCACGAAGGAAAATGTGTATAAATTGTTGAAAAAAAAGAAGAGAAGACAAAGTCATGAGCCCCACCCTATAGACTCAAATTCATAAGGTCAGATGTAGTGCCCAGGGATCTGTATTTTTAATAACTGTTTCTGGCAATTCTTACAACCTAATCAGCTAGAGGACAGCCATGTCTGGTTGTTGAGACCATTACCAAAAAAAAAAAAAAAAACCCAACTCACTGCCAGAGACTTGATTCAGACTCATAGTGACCCCCCGTGGGGTTTCTGAGGAGGTAAATCTTTACAGAAGTAGATTGTCCCATCTTCCTTCTGTGGAGCGGCTGGTGGGTTTGAACCACTAGACCTTCTGGTCAGTACCTGAATGCCTTATCCATTATCCCACCAGAGCACCTTTATAGCATAAACCTATTTCTCAGGAGGTACAGTCTTCATACCTGAACAAGGGAAGTGCTTGCACACTGGGCTGTGTATGAATCCCCAAGCCCCTGCTCGGACCCTTCCAGCCCCTGACCTCCGCCAGGTTTTCAGGTGAAGCTTCCCTCAGGTTTATCTCCCAGGCACAGAGTTCCTGGTAGAAGGGAACTGTGGAGGCCTTCACTGTGACAGCTTAGGTCCTTGTATCCAAGGTTCAGGCTGGGTGCCCAGGGCTGAGCAGCGGAAGGAGGGGGACCTTGCCTCTGCCCTGTGCCTTAGCGAAGGCACAGGCTTTGCTGGGAGGCCAAGAAGGCACCCTGTGATGACAGCATGCACACATCAGGGCAGGGCAAGACACAAGAAACAGCATGAGAGAGCACGCTTTCCCACACACACACATCCCCCCACCCCCGCCTTGGATGGTTTTGCAGCCATCCCTGGATCCCCATGGCACCCCGCAGCCAGCTGTGGGACATGTAAGCTACACTGCCAGTCTCCCATACCAGTTCCACATGCTTGCCATTGTTGATCAGTCCTGGCATTTCTCATCGAGCCTGGGTATAATTTCAGAATTCTGTGGCTCCACATTCTACTTGAAGCAACCCAGGAGCACCATCACAGCAACCAAAATCTATTTGCCACCCCAATAACAATTCTAGGCTCATGCCTCCCCCTCAGCACACTCATTTTCCTCATATGTCCCTTTTGGTGATCATGGAGGTCCCTGGGAAGCTGACTCTGAGGGGGACTTACACTGTCTTGGGTACTTGCACTGTCTTGGCATCTCTAAGGACAGCCTTCTCCCCAGGTGCCACATGGATCCTTGGGGGCCCCTCTGATTCTGGCCGTGTGGCTCTGTGGCCTTTACTGGCACCTGATGCTGGCAGTAGGAGTTTGTGCCACTTCCTTCCAACAGAGCCCTTTTGTGACCCAACTCCTGCAAAAGGCAGGGATGGAAGACACAGCCTGAGCAGCCAGATTCCATCCTCTGAGGCCTTGTCGATGACATCTCTCCTTGAGTGCAACTCCGGCACTTGCATCACCTCAAGCCAATCACTTAACTTTCATGCTTTCATTCCACTGGCATTTACTGTGCAGGTATTGTATATGAGATATAGTTGTAGGCCCTTGGGATACAGCTGTGGACAAAGAGACGTGTTCCTGCAGCTCTGGAGTTGACAGTTCATGCAGATAGGAGAAGAGAGCTGCTGTAGATGGGGTGGAGGGGCTGCTCTAGAGTGAGGCAATGTGAAGAGTTGAGAGAGTAACATTACTGACTGAGGGACCCGCAAAGGCCTCTAAGTGGGAGTGAGCTCAGTGCTTCTTAAGGAGAGGAAAGCCTATGTAGTTGGAACAGCGTGGTGAGATGAGTGCAGGTAATGGGAGAGAGATTGGAGGAGCCAAAGGGTGAAAGCCATGGGTGCGTCTGCACTTTATTCTAAAGGTGGAGGGAGACCAATGGGAGGTCTAAGCTGCAGAGCAATGGGAGTTCTCTCTGGGACCCAGGGGGACTGTGAGTGGGGGAGACTGAGAAATGGTGGTGGATAAAAGATCAAGATGGCAGCAGGACACCATGCAGTTGTGATCAGCAGAACTCAATGTCTCCCTCTCAAGTGCCATATGATTTATGAGGTATATGTGGCTTAATGAAGATCCAGGACCTGGGGGATGGGGGTCAACCTAGATAAACATTGTGTTGGCAACACCCCTAGGCAGCCCAGGATTCTGATTCTAAAGCTGACTGGAGAAGGTCAAAAGGTCCCTAAATGTGTCTGAAGCCCAGGATGAAATGGGCCCCATTCAGCTGGAACCCCAGGATGAAAAGAAGCTGCCCTCAGGGTTCTTAGAACCCAAAGGTACGTGCATTTGTTCGAGGGGCATTTTTCTTTCCATCACTGCTGAGTCTTTGAAGCCATGGTGGGTCCTGTACCACTATCAAGACCAGATAAGGTACAGGATGGCAAGGATTGGCCCTGTTATACAGATGGGGAAACAGAGGCTTGGAATAGGAAACCATTGCCTTAAGTCCCCAGAGTTGGAAGGCACAGAGCTGTCACAGGGCTCCTCAAGGGTGTGTTACCTCTTACCAAACTGTAACTGGAGGACAGAGGTGGCTAGAGGCTTACTAGGCCTCTGAAGGTGGCACACCCTAGGCCACCTCACTCCAATCCCAGCCCATAGCCTTCATCAGCGAGATGGCAGTAGGGACAGCCTCAGGTGTGCAGGCCCCTGGGGGCTGTGTCACCGGGAGCTGGGCGCTGTGGGATGCCATGCTGGGAGGTCTAACCTGTGGTCTGGCAGTCAGATCAGCCGAGAAGCAGCCTAGCCTGGTTCTGCCTTCTCCTGTGTCAACTCCTACCACATTCAGTCCATTATCCCATATGATAAGGAGCTCTGAGTATGGGCTACGCAGAGAACAGAGGGGATGAAGGCAGGCCTGGTGCCTCCTCTGGCTCTCTCAGGTGCTCAGCATCAGCCAGACCTGATTCAGGCCCCTGCTCAGTTACAAATTGAAAGAACGTGCTTTTTTTCCTCTCTTGTAAAATGGAAATTCTTGTTGTGTAAAATGAAGGTCAAAACAGTATAGAACTCACAAGGCCTGTATGTCTGTGGTGGGGGCATTCGGTGAGATGCTGTCTGTGATAATAGTCCCCTCCCTACTCCGGACAGCTTCACAACTTATGGGGACCATAAGGTTCGGTAACAGAGAAAGTGGGTGCTCCTGTCCTTATAAACCTGGAAGCAAATCCCAGTTGTTAGCTGCCATCAATGTGATTCCATCTCATAGCAACATGTACAACAGAATGAAGTACTGTTATGTGCCATCGAGTCAGCCCTGACTCATAGGGACCCCTCCTTGGGTTTCCGAGGCAGTATGCCTATGGAAGTAGGATTGCCCAACCTTCCTTCCGAGGAGTGGCTGGTGGGTTTGAACCGCCAGCCTTCTGGTTAGCAGTCAAGTGCCTTAGCCACTATGCTACCAGAGCTCCCATCACCTTAGTAAGGCCTGGGAATTAGGAGCTCAATGTTCTATCACCCACCTCACCACACCTCTGTTTATCTGTAAAATGGAATTAACAATGAAGTCTCCCCTCTCAATTCCACCCAGGGTAATTTGAAGAAGGAGCATGGTCTTTAGTGAAGATACCAGTCAACAGCCAAACTCTGAGCTAAGCCTGGAGCCTGGGATTATTATTAACAGTGTGTGGTTAATACTTATAGTGCATGGCCAGACACACAGGAAGCCCGAGCATAGAACCTGGCCGGGCGCCCCAAGCCTGGCACGCACGAGCCTGGCATGCCACAGCTGTCCAACAGACGTGAAGTACAGGTGGAATGACCGGATAGCGTCAGGCTGGATCCTGAGCCTCCCAGGCCTCTCAGGCCTCAGTTCCCTCTAGCTCCCCGCCGAAGTCAGTACACAGGCAGCGTCCCTGCACGCAGGGGCGGGGCGGAGGGGCGGGGCCGGCGGCAACACGGCGGCCTGGGGTGATCCCGGAGCTCCGCCCCGTCCCGCTCCGCCCCTCCGGGCGGGTCCCAGGAGTATTAACGTTCCTCCCCACGCCGGCCTCGGCCTCTGCTTCTGCCAGTCGCTGCTAAAACCGCTGCGTCGTCTAGTCCTCGGCTTCCCCATCCTCCTTGCCCGGCCGCACCATGGAGAGTTACCACAAGCCTGACCAGCAGAAACTGCAGGCCCTGAAGGACACGGCCAACCGACTGCGTATCAGCTCCATCCAGGCCACCACGGCGGCGGGCTCAGGGTGAGTCGGGGGCCGGAGAGGGGCGCGGGGGCCGGGGAGGGTGCTCCCGGCCCCACCGGGCTCAGGCAGGGTGGAGGAGCCGTTTCCGGTAGCTGCATTTGCACCGGGCGCGCCGGCTCCGTGTCGCACTGGCTCCGTGTCGCACTGGCTCCGTGTCGCGCTGCACGATGCCACCACGAGGACGGCGGCCGGGGGCGCGGTCAGATGGCGGAGGCGCGGGCCTCGGCGTCGCCGGGTACGCGCGCCTTGTAGTTGCCCCTGCCGCAGAGCCGCCCTTTCTCACCCCGACTGCCTGAGGCTTGGCTCGCGAGTCTAGGTGCAGTTCAGGCCGGCTTTGCCTCTAGCTAGTCTCCGGCTACTGGCTGCACTGTGGTGCGGAATATTGGACTTGTCAATCACGAAGACCTCCCTCTCCAACAAGCTGGGAAGGCCACCATTACTGCGCATCCACTGAGGACCAGGCCCTTTGCGGTGTGCTTTCCATGCACCGCACTCTCTTAATCTTCCTCACAACCTTGTGCCAGCACCACTGATAACGTTCTTAAAAACAAAACAAAACAAAAAAAAAACCGCATCGTCGTGGATTCCAATTCATGGGGACCTTATAGGACAGGTTTCAGTAGGTTTTCATAGTTTCTCTTGCAGAACGGCTGGTGGGTTCAACGGCCGATCTTTCGGTTAGCAGCTGAGTGCTTTAACTACTGTGCCACTAGGGCTCCTCCGACTTACAGATGATGAGTAAACTGAGGTTCAGAGTTTAAGTTAGTTGCCCAAGAACACAGTGAAAGCTGGGATTTGAACCTAGGCTCTGAGTTCGCAGGTGGGCAGCAGGGCCCAAGGCTGGGCCTTCTCCCTACTTCAAGCCAACCTTCCCCTTTCACCACTTCAGCTCGTTGTCACCCATGGGTTGAAGTCCAAGCTGAGAGCAAGGTGAGTGAGGAAAGAGTGGAGAAGGTGGCCACGTGGATGCAGAACCCTGGCGTCCTGTGTGAATGGGAGGTCTGAAATCTGAACTGGGACAGAGGAAGGAGATGAGACCTAGAAGAATAGGTGAAAGAAAGACCAGTTCAGGGCCCCATGGGTGGGAATGAAGTCCTGAGTGCAGGGCCAGCTGGCAGGTGCACTTTCTCCAAGGCGAGAGTGCCCATCCTCCAAGATCCTCCTCACCTCTCCCAGCCAACTTGGCTCAGAAGGTGGAGAAAGGATGTTGCTCATCCTGAGGAGACTCTTCAGAAGGTGGCCAGTAACAGCAACAATGATAACTGAGGCCCATCACCCAGCTGCAGGCATTTAGTGGTGTGGTTGAGGCAGTCATCCGTGTTACTTCAGGGTCTATCCCCCTCTGTAAAATAGGGACAGTAATAATGCCTGCCATGGGCATGGTTGTGAGGATTCAAGTGCTCCACTTGGGGCCCTGCATGTGACTTTAATGATAGGTTCACACAGTGGTTTTGAGGACTGGAGAGGGCATGTGTGTGTGATCTGATCAGGTTTCCAAGGACTGTCAAAGCCATGCTATGTGCTCAGATCAAAGACTTTGGCTTCTGGCCAATTTTATACAGGCAGTGGGTTTCAGGTTTTTTGTTTTGTTTTGTTTTGTTTTTCCAGTTATGTCATTAAGAAGTAAATCTCTTGCCCTGCAGGGTAGGTAGTCATCTGCCCTTTGTGCCATTAAGACATCCTTGACTAGAGGCCATTTCCCTCCTACCCCAACTCACCCCTATACACACTTTGGACCTATTATCTTTCTTGGGTTTATATCATTCCACACACCCTATATTTTACTGGAACTGCATTTCAGGGGCATTCATCCTGTCAGCCCTACTGTGTGCTTTGAGCTATCAAGTCAGGTCCCTGAACATCTAACTGGAAAGAGATAGCAATTACCCAAATAGATAGTATTACATGTCCGAGCATCTTGTGGGGAAAGATAAGACATTTATACAATCAGAGGGTGGCTGAGCAGGTGAATAGGTATCCCTCATGTGACACAGAGCATGCATTGTTGCTAATATCTCATGCACTCTTAGAATAACCCTATGAGAGAAATTCTGTTACATTCTCATTTTATAGATGAGAAAACTGAGACTAGTGTGTTAAGTGACTTTAATAAGATGATAATTTATGAACTGTTCCATACTGCCCAGTGTGGGGCTCAAATTATTGCGAAGTCTGTTTGGGTAGGTGGGCGAAGTGACATATGTACTGGACTGTGGAGAATGGGAGAAAATTGGAAAGGGGTACTTGGGGGAGAAATGAAATAACATATACAACCATGGGCAGATTTTCAAGGTGGTCAGATGAGTTGTTGGGTCTTTGTTAGGTAGTTAAACTCATGTTTCCACTCAAAAAAAGATGTGGCAGCTGAGAGTTATACCTATGTTTACATTGTAATGCCTTAGGGAGGAATTCACTGAGCTCGAAAGTAACCATTTGTGAAAAGAAAAGCTTGTCTAAAATAGGGTGTTTTTGTGTGCTTGTATATGTATAGAAGATGTAGGAAAGAAATGTTTGAAGAAAACTTATTTTTCAAAAGGAAGTAACATTGCTATGCAATCCCTGTCACAAGAGCAGTTGTGAAAGGTATGTGCTAAGAGTGTATGTTTGTACACAAAAAACAAAGGGAAAGTTGAGGTAAGGGTGGTTTTCCAGTTCTCAGGATGTTTGTTTTGAGACCTACCCACTCACTGTTGGTGGCACAGTGGTTAAGTGCTTGGCTTAAGAAGTCAGCAGTTTGAACCTACCAGGGGCTCCATGGGAGAAAGATGTGGCAGTCTGCTTCTCTAAAGATTTACAGCCTTGGAAACTCTATGAGGCAGTTCTACTCTGCCCTATAGGGTCGCTATGAGTTGGAATTCATATGACGGCAATGGGTTTGGTTTTTGGTTTTTATTCCCCCATTAGGAGTACCTGGGTGGTGCAAAACAATTAAGTGCTTGACTACTAACCAAAAGGCTGGCGGTTCAGACTCACCCAGAGACAGCGCAGAAGAAAGACATGGTGATGTGCTTCCGACAGGCCACAACCATAAAAACCTTTATGGAGCAGTTCTACTCCATACACATGGAATCACCATGAGTCGGAAGTGCCTCAATAGCAACTTTTTTTTTTTTTTTTTTTTAATTCCCCCATTGCAGGGGGAGCTTCCCATTCACCTGAAGGAAGGCTAAGTCCCAGGGCCCTGGTCCAATCTGGGCTGAAGTCATCCCTTGGGTCAAACATTTATTAAGGAATCTTCTCATGATGGGAGCTTATGACCATGGTGGCGAAACAGATTTTGGTCACATCTTCTAATAGGCACCCACCAAATATGGTCTTAGACATTCTGTTAGTCAGGACCTAGGCTATAGGTTATTGGATTCAGTGAAGTCCCAATTAGCTTTCCTATCCCTGTGCCCATATGCAGTGGGCCTTACTAGGCACTGGCAAGTAGCCTATCCTCCCCAGCATGAGGACACTGGCCTCTGTCGGGGGAACTGGGCCTGGAGGTGGAGAGGCAAGCCTTCACAAAGGGCTCTTTGTTGAAGCAGCACCCACAGTGACCAGAGCTCCTCTGGGGCTATCTCTCTCCCTGTGCTGAGGGACAGTGGCAATGGTCCAGCTTATGCTGGAAGTGAAAAATGAAACCTGATGGCCTTGTCAGAATGGCCTGGATGCTGAGCTGGTGGTAAAGAGTTGTCAGTTCTCACTTACCAGGGCTGGACTGTGGCATTATCCAAACAGTCCCAAGTGTCACCTAGGATGCCATCTGAATCCCTGGGCAGCCTGTTACCAGTGCAATGCTTCTAAATAAGGGGAAGGTGGTGTGCTGTAACATGCACCCCTGCTTTGGGGATTGCTGGTGGGTTTCATCCATACCTGGCTGGTAGGCACAAGCAGATCAAGGATCCAACCTTGGCTCTGCTTGGAGCAGCTACAACCTTGTCATTAAGACTCTTCCCTTTCCAGGGCCTCAGTTTCCCCATCTTTAAAGGAGAAGTCCATAGATAGGTGGTTTTCAAACTGGGTTTTTTTTAGGAATAGGGCTGGGGGAGCAGAGTGAGCAGATTCTGGGGTCCCATCTTGGTATCCATGAGACTTTAAAGTGGCTAGAAGTATGGGCCCCATCCCTGCTACCAGCTTTGGCATTCACCAAGGCTTTGGCAGAGTACTCTGATGGCCTCTGCATGGACCAGGCCCTTTTGGGTCTCTGAGCTCTCTGGACAGAGAAAAGCTGCCAGGGACCTGCCTCTCCGTTTTGGCCTGGCCCAGACTGAGGCAAAAGTGAAGCCCATTGAGGTTGCCCCAGCAGCAGTCATGTTTCCCAACACAGTGTAGAGACACCTGGCTGCCCTGGAATAACTTGGTTCTTTGCCCAACTGACTGCTGTATTCAGTAGTTGATGGTCAGAGTCTGGCTGAGATATTCTTGTGGCTTCCTATGAACTCTGACTGTCCTGTAATCCTTGTTTTGGCTGTGACTACTGGACTTTGCTTCTACTTAGGTATATTTGTTGTCACCCAGAGCTTGGTCCTACAAAATCAGGAACTCCTTGATTGCCACAGACCACAGTTATCTGTCCTGGATGCCCAGAACACTCCCTGCCAGGCCCAGACACCTCCCTGAGGGCAAGGACCCAGCAGAGCTGGGTTCTCAGCACACTGGGCTCTGTGCCCTGAATGGGGAGGCAAGGTCCATTCAGAGTATTCATGTGATATACAGAAAATGCTAATGACATGGATTGAGGACCAAACACAAAAGCACATCTCTCTCAGCATCTTAATGATCACTGCTCAGGCACGAAACTTGTTTGGGATGCTTGAAGAAAAAGCAGGAGCAGACTACAATATGGTGTTTACACAACATCCAAATCATGCAACGTCCTATTTCACAGACCATATCATGGGCATTAAGTGATGCATGATTGTGTAATATGTATTATTATACAGCAGTGAATGTAAGTGAACTATACTTCACTGATCCAACATCAATATTATCTTACAAATGTGTATGAAAAAATA